CCTTCTTTTTTTTGGAAAGAATGCACCTAAGTGCCTGATAAATCAAATTTGCTCAGTATAGATAAGATTTGTTTTCCCTCGGAGTGGATAGCGGGCATGGGAGTTCTGTAACCAGAAATACTGCCATCCTTAATAGTTGTTGCATAGGCCATATGCGCATACAAGTTTCTCTATGATTCCTAACAGAGTCGAAGACATGGCGCATTCTAGGAGTCTTCAGCATTAACCACCATATTCTCGAGCCTTCTACAAACCACAGTTATGACATTTACTACAAATTCAACATTTAGAAATGTAGCGACTACCCAACTGATTAATTAACGATCCCAAACCAATTAATTAGATCCACACTAAAAACATACCATTCCATGACCAAGTCTGCACCCATTCAAGGTGAACGCCACTCCTGGCATTAGAATGAGATCCAGAGCACCTAAATGAAATTCTCTAGTCTGACAGAATTCCACTGTGCAGTAGTGAGCTCACCCGTGGTTTCGTAGTCCTCCCAGTTAACGTCATCGCCGGGCTGACGGATACCCCACAGTGTTGGCTTTAGTTTCAAAAAATCATTGTGGGAAGGAACATGGAGCAGGCGCATCCGGGGATTCCCTCTAGTAAACTGAAAAGCATTTCATATTCAGGACTATCAGTTATCTTTCAAAACAGAGATGATCGCTTTCACTGACTTTTGGTATAAAAAGTTGCTTCCCTTGTTTCAGCGATTCTTCAACAATTCGATCTGTTTCGATTTCTCCGCTTGTGTGGACGTATACTGACACTCTTTGCGCATTTTTGAACCATGAAGATGAAAGTACCTGAAAGTAACGGCCTGATAAAGTGGTTAAAATGCCCCACTAGAGGATCGTGTTCTAGAAAAGATAAGTGCATGCGATCATGTCCTCTGAACTTCAGGAGTTGTCTAACGGCAGGGTTATTAGAGTGCTTCTCTGTTCCTACGCTTATAAAATATTTTTTCTTCTTTTCGCGAACATATTATATACAGGGGGGGGGGCAAAAAAAGTCACTTTTCTTCATTGACTTTCGAGGCGCTATAAGTTACACTTTATTGAATTCTGATCGGACATTTTTACCACCATATTAAAGAGCATATCAAATACTATCATGATACTCCGCCACAGCCTTCTGGAGGAGCGCCATGAGAGATTCTGGCACGCAGCGACCGCGCGATGTGGTGGCCTGAGATTCAGGGCGAGATAGTCGATTTCTCCGCCACCGTGGACCACCCTATCGAACTCCGCCTGAACCGGGTGGAGATTCAGGTTAGGTGACTTATTTGGATATTCCATCTTTTTTAGGTACTCAGCCCCTTCCATTCCAAGTAGGCGTGTGTTTCTAACCAATGCCGCTTGAGATTTTATGTATTGGCACTCAATGCTGTAGCAGTACAAAGTTTCCAAGAAGGTACGGGCGACCACATGTGAGAAGGATATTCTTCATGAGTTGCCAAGTGTAACCGCCCGCAGCTTCCCTCTTGTCCCGGGGGGGGGTCCACGAAGAAATATTGGTCTTTCCATTCCAGGTACGTCCGGTCCATACCATCAACCCGCGCCTTGGCGACTGTGGTGAAGATGATGTCCTAGACCGTAGCGACGTTGTCGGAGCTGCTCGATGTTGGATCCAGATCGAGAGTACTGGTCTCCAAGTAGCCATGGGTGACTCCATACTAGAAGTTTCGCAGCTGTTTGGAGGTGACATGAATTCCAAAGGTCTTCTCCAGTCAGGCTGCGACTGGAGATGACTTCATATTTTGGTGTACATGAAGGTGATGGGCGAGCGCCAGCTCCTGCTTATAGAGGAACATCTTGGGTAGCCCTGGTACTCGTATCCACGTCCTCTGTCTGGCAGCGAAAACTTTGCTGATATGTGACTCGGTCGAAGTGACTTTTTTTGCCTGCCCCCCCCTGTATGAGCGTCAGCAACCGCAGACGTAGGGGGAGCAAGCAGCTGCGCCTCTGCGACCCCTTCCAAAAGAAACTAAGGCTGTGAACGCGTGCGACCTGTGTCGTCAAAGGATAGCGTCGCAGACGCTACATGGTTTTTACTAAGCCTGAGCTTCGTTTAAGAGAAGGGACACACAAGCCTGTTTTCAACTGTATCATAAAGTTGACTAACCTTCCCAACGACAATGTCACTTTGGCGTCGAATTTCTTCCGCCGAAATGTCGCTTAGTCGGGCTGCAATACTCTTCCGCAGTTCTTTCTTTTGGATGGAAATAGGATCTGTTTGCCACTGTTTGGTTGTTGATGTCATCTGAAACTAATAAGTAAATCATTTGGGCCGCGTTCATACTTTGCGGCAGCGACTACTAGCATTCACCACTGGCGCAGCGTTGAGCGGCCGTCAGCGTCAGCGAGTGGGAAAGTATAGATATCAATCGAGCGACCAGTAGCGTCTACCAACGTCTACCAGCATCTGCCAGCAACCGGCAGGGGATCGATGGTTAGGGGATCGATCTAAATGCCAGCAGCATCCGCCAGCCACCAGCAGCGTTCAGGAGTGGGGAGTATGGGGAAGTAGGAAGGTAGCAGACAGCTCTCTACCAGCACATTGCTACCCTCCTTTCTCCCATACTCTACCAGCCCTCTGCTACCTATCTCCGCAAACTCTCCACTCCCGGACACTGCTGGTCGCTAGATCGAAACCTATACTTTGCTCGAAAAGCTGCTGGTTGCTGGCGGATGCCGGTGGACGCTGTTGGTAGCTAGACCAATATCCACACTTTCCGATGCGCTGACGTCGACGTTTGAAACGCGCTGGCCGCTGGTGGTCGCTGCCGCGAAGTATGAACACGGCCTTCCCCAGCTCGTGGATAAATAGTCATGCATCAACTTATTACACTTAATGCACGACAAAATGTAACCAAAAAGGAGTGCTTGAGGAAAAGGAACCAAAAAAAGATTCTCAGTGAGGTGAATAGGTGCGAAACGTCAGAAATTCCCAAGATTTTAGAGCTGCTAGGGCTACGAAAAGTCGCATCTAGCTGACAACATCAAGCCACGCCAGTTCCTCTGCTCAGTAGCATTAAAATCTCTTAATCAGAAGTAGAAATATCCAAAATGTGGGAACTTCTTGTATGTTCAGAGACAAGTGAGGACTGTATTCGGAGCTCAAGGATAGATAGGTTTGTTTTCTCCAAACAGTGAATGAAATGTCTTGATCACACAACAAGGAGCGGTCTCACAGGAGACACTGGACGTATTGCGGCAACCAGTTTTTTTTATAATGAAGGAGTAAATCATCCCTACCTTAGACCTATTCCAAAAGAACATGTGGCTGGCCAAA